TATTTTAATGCTACTTCAATATATACAAATGAATAAAAAATGTTAGCATATAAACATTTTATGTTTTTATACAGTTCTAAAAATTTTAAATGTATTACATGTCATATACAAATGAAACTGTAAAATCAGTAAAACTTCAATTTACAGCATTAATGTGATGGATAGTGGTATGTTACCAAAATAAAATCCTAGCTTACAATGTCAATTTCTATAATTCAGTGTTTTAAAGTGAAGATTTGGGGGGCTGGGGGGCTTGAGTTTGGATCCTGGCTTTGCTGCTTCCGTCCTGTATGCCCAGGCACAAGTTGCGTAGCCTCTCTCGTTTTATCACCTATAAAATGAGGGCTCCTAACTCCTAGGACTGTTGTGAAGACTAAATAAGTTAGTGCATATAAAATGAATCAGCTCCAGAGATGCTGATAAAGACGCAGTGACTGCTGCCAATTATTGCTGACTACTATTGCAAAGATTATTTTGAACTCAATATTTCTGCCGTTGAATGTCCTATGAGTGACTCAGTTCTCCCACTTGCATTCATATTATTATGAAACTTGCCTCTGATATTGAGCTATGACATCTTTGGCATTCGTTGACATGGTTGCATCATTAACTTATTTGTGTCTGAGAGGAAATAAGTACCTATTTCTCTACAATGAAAAATACAGTTATCACATGGGCTAGATTAGTTAAGTGAGTATTCTCACTACAATCAGCAATCTCATGCCTCTTCTCTTCCCCAGGAATTAAGTAGAAAATTGAGTCATTGAGAATGACTCAATTGGGAGATCCTAGAATTCTTGCCCTGTGGCACATCTACAAAAACAAACAAACAAACAAACGAACAAAAAAAACCCACCCTATTTAAGATCAACCTTGGAAGATAAATGGAATTTTAAAAATTCTATTTAGAGGGTATTCAGCTGGTGGTTACAGCTTAAGCACAAGTATGAAAGTCAGAATATATGTTTTATATCACAGGGTCAGTGAGTTGCGTGATTTAGCTAGACTCGAGCGTAGGATATATGAAAGGAAGTAATGAGAGATTAAATTGGGAAGGTAGGTTGGAGCCATTTCCCGGAGGATTTTGCATACCAGAATGAGAAATCAGGCATGCACTCTTTCTTCCCCTGCTCCTACTTTTGTTTTTGTTTCTGAGCCATAAAGTGGTATAAACAGAATTATACTTGGGGAAGATTGGTCTGGAGACATAGTGTTGAATAGGTTAGAATGGGAGAGGACCTAGAGGAAAGTAAATCAGAGAAGGTGATTACAGTAGTTCCACTAAAAGTATCCATAGCCTAAAGGGAGAGGTGATAAAAAGAACATAGCATCTGAGGAATATCATTATGTTAGACTACAGGATTTGACCATACATTGTATGTGAACATTGACAGAGTAGAAGAGTTTTAAAATATTATCAAAATTTTAGTTTGAAGGAATGATAGTGGCAATAAGAAGGCGTTGGGGTAGCCTGGCTTTGTGGGAAGTAAGAAAGAGGCTTTGGATATGTTGGATTGGGGTCTAGCAGATATCCAAGTACAGGCACCCAGGAGGCAAATCTAGAAGTCGAAGTCGGGCTAAAAATTTGAGAGTTGTCTTGCAGATGACAGTTGAAATTGTGAAGGATCATCATGGAAGAAAAGGTAAAGAGGACAAAGGACAACTGATATTGAGGAATATTTACTTAAGAAGGAAGGAGGAAAAAAGGAATCAGAAAAGAAATAGTTCAAGAGCTAAGAGAGCTAAGTATTCGTAAGCTAAGACAGGAGCTAACTGCAAAAGGGAGGAGATGATCTGACGACTGAAAAGGGCCATAGCATTTGGTGATTGGAATTTACCGCTGACCTGTGGGACAGCATGTTCTTCCCTCCCACTTCCTATATTATGGGATTACAAGGGAATAAAGAGTGAATGGATGCTGTGGAAGTGGAGACTGTACAAACACTTCTTTCAACAAGTTTTGCAATGAAAGAAGAGAGAATGTGAGTAGGAGGTGATGGTGTATTGTTTTCTTAATAGATGAGAATAATTTTAGTTGAGACTGAGCAGAGGCTAATAATAATTAAGGAATTGGGCCTGCCGAGTGGCGCGATGGTTAAGAACTGGCTTGGGACGCCAGAGGGCCCCGGTTCGGATCCCACATATGAGGGCCAGTGACACTGCCCTCTACAGCTAAGATGCTGAACAACAGCTCAACCTGGAGCTGGGCTGCCCTGAGTCGCTGGCGACGGCGTAGGCTGCAGCCCCTGTGGCAGTGGGTTGCCATGGGCTACTGTATGTAGCCAGCTGCCAGCAGCCAGCGTGAGTGGCCAGCAGCCGGCGACTGATTTGCCTCGCCCAGGAAGAGCGCAATGATGGTGCCAATTTGGGCCAGTGAAGCAACGTCCTCCACAACTAGACTGAAGAACAAAACAACAGCAACTTGTCTGTTCCCCTTCCCCCAATTCCCCCCCCAAAAAATAATAATAATAATAAGGAATCAAGAAGAGTAAGTGACTACTTAAGTTCTGTAAGGAGACCAGAAGGAATATGATCTAGAGCATTAGTGGATGGGTTAGCCTTGGTAAAGGAAACAGATCTAGCTCCGAAACAAGGGGAAAGCAGCAGTGATAGGATATCAAGAACCTTTGTGGTGGGGGGAGAAAATTGAGAGCATGTTTATAAGAAGTTCTCAATATTCTCAAGAAAGATATAAGGCAAAGGAATCTGCCTAGAGGAGAGATGGGATTGGAGTTGGGGTTTGCTGGTAGAAAAGGTCTGGAGCACTACTACTGGGTGCTTATTAGAGAGCTCATCAGATGAGTGGGAGGGTTGTAAGAATGCACTGGGAGTCATCTAGCATGGATCTGTGGTGGAGAGTGTGACTGTGTATTTGTCTCCAGGAACATTAAATTCAGCGCTAACAAGGAAGGTAAATACAGTGTTTTGCCCAGGCCTGGAAAGATGGCAGATCATGGAGACAAGGAATTCTAATAGTTTACCAAATGCTTTGTTGAAATAACAGCAGCTGTCTGACCATTATGCTGTATACCTGAAATTAATATAAAATAATATTGAATGTCAAAAAAAAAACAACAAAAACAGGCAGAACGAAAACATAGTGATCTTCCAGTGGAAAAAAAAAAGAAAAGAAATAACAGGAATTCCTAGATGGGTAAGGATGCAGTTAAAGTTTAAAAAGGTTAAAGGCTTTGATGAGAATAAAGAGGCTCCTCAGTAGAGGAACAGGAAGTGTGACAGAAGTAGAAATTTTGGTTAGTTTTTTAAGAGTCTGATATATTGGAGCTGAAGCATGCCTAATATGGAAGTCCAAGACTTATGCCAATTGATGGCTGGAAACTTAATTTGGGAATGTAGACAGCCTATAAGTCCAAAGTGTTGGTAGATTAATTCACAAGGATATCGGTAGGAGATACAGTAAAGGGACTATTATGAACATCTAGGAGAAGGAAGACTGTGACAAGGAAGTTGAGAGGGCTGAATAAGCCAAGAGCTTGAGTTTCAGCTGAGCAGAAAACAGTTGGTGGGTCAAGGTGGAAGAATAGTACAGAAGGAACAGTAAAATGCAGGGCACTTTGATCTTTCTTCTGATATTTAAAAACTCTAACCCTAGCTCCTACATGCACTATGCCTTTCAGTAAATCACCTAACCTTGCTAAGCTTCAGTTTCTTCATCTGTGAAAACAAGATAAAAATACTGTCTGCCTCATACGATTATTGTGAGAATTAAATTAGATAATTTATAATGTAAAGCATATAGCATAGAACCTACCAAATAAATATATTAGATGTCCTTGCTGCTATTGCTGACACTGACATGCATAAAAGATAAATAAATCTTGCATAAAGTGGGCTATGCTGTGTCACTGAGTGCAGCATAGGATAGATATCACTTGTGGCCAGTGTCACTCCTGACACAAAAAAGTATTGATACCAGTAGTCCTTACCATCTCTCACTTCTAAGTAGTAGGTCAGGGTTAGAACCTACACTGAAACATTTTTTAAGCGTTTGTATCAGCACAGAAATAATGGTTTTTAGTAAACTTGAGAATAGGAGTATCCATTGAACCAAGGGAAGTTGTTCACAATAGAATAAGACCAATAGAATGGCCTAGTAGATTTGTACCACATCAAAATAAATTGTAGGCGAGTTTGATAGACTTATATTTCTAGAGTTGAAGCTGGCAGTGTCAGGGATTAAGAAGAAACCTAGAAGACCATGTCAGCTATAGGGAGCCAGGCTGATGCTCATGGAAGACATATAAATACAGTAACCATATCCCAAGTGCCAAAACAAGACAGGCTGTAGGAGCTAAGACGAAAGAAAGACTACCGTGTTTTTTTTTTGTTCATTTTTTTTTAAACTTAGGTGCTCTTCAAATAGCCAGTGGAACCTTAGTTCTAGGAAAACATAGCTTTGAAAATGAAAAAAGTTATACGGAGTTCTAAGTGACTTTACCCATTTTCCTAACCCTTGGAATTTGCTCTCTAGGTGTTTGTTTTTGTTTGTTTTGTTTTTTATTAGTTTCAGGTGTACAAAACAGTGCAATAGTTATCCTTTTCACCCCTCACAAAGTGACTACCCCCTCCTCCCATTCACTGCTCCCCTACACCCGATATCATACATATGTATTACAATTCCATTGACTCCATTCCCACACTATACTCCACATCCCATGACTATATATGTACTAAATTATAGTTGACATATAATATTATTCAACGGCATCTTCAGGTATACAGCGCAGTGGTCAGGCCTCTACACCGTCCATGAAGTGGTCTCCCTAACAAGACATGAGACCATCTGGCCCCCTAAAGAATATTTACAACATTATTGATTATATTTTCCACACTGTCATTTCTATCCCTGAGGCAGTATTGTAGTTAACAATTTATGTTGTGGTTTGGTGGTTTTTTTTTTTGGTCACATGAGAGTAAATCTTGGACTTAAGAGAGTTCATACCCTACCTCTTACTACTTTTTCTCGCTCTTTGTGACAGGTGAATGGCCAAGACCTAAAGAACCTGCTGCACCAGGATGCTGTCGACCTCTTTCGTAACGCAGGCTATGCTGTGTCCCTCAGAGTGCAACACAGGGTAGGTGTCATTTCCAGCCAGCAGCGCCCCAGGCTTTTGTACCTTCTTGGGAATAAACCCTGTGGCGTGATCCTCAGTGGTGTGTTTGGCTTTTTTTCTTTTCACTCCCACTCATTGGAAGAGCTTGTCTGGCACAAGCAGGGGTCTTCTGGAACCTCTGCTTATCATTAAAGGAAATTCATAACAGTATGCTTGCAACCCAGGTCCTAGCTTCAGGATAACATGCCTTAAAGATAAAGCTTGACAACCAAATGAAAATAAATGGGGAAAAGATACAACCAGAATAGAAGGAAACATGTGAAACATGACCGATAATCTTTCTAAGTAAGCATTTCTAGGAAGATAAGATGGATGTCCCCTGCCGAACCCAAGAATTTCCAGGTTTCCTGTAGGATCAACAGGCTTCATCTGATATTTTCATTTTCCTGATATGATATACAAATAGCTTGGTGGAGGTAGTACATAAACAGAAAGCGAGAGGTTGTCTGACTTACCCTCAGGGGTCACTTTAGGTCAGTAGCCCAGCAAGGTTAAATGCCCCCCCATCAGACTTATTTTGTTTCCAAAGAATCGGTGATACTGATGTTATCAACTGAGGACAAACAGACAGGATGCCCTCTGCTAGACGGTGCTTGGGTCTGCAGCTTTGGGTGGTCTAGAGACTCCAGACCCAGGTAATGTGTCAACTGGACATTTCAGTTGTAAGCACGCATTGTCACTAGCGTTAACATCTTCTTTCCCTTCCAGTTACAGGTGCAGAACGGGCCTATAGGACATCGAGGTGAAGGGGAGCCGAGTGGTGTTCCCATCGCCATGGTGCTGGTGCCAGTGTTTGCCCTCACTATGGTAGTAGCCTGGGCCTTCATGCGATACCGGCAACAGCTTTGAAAAGCTTGCTTTCTTCCCGTGCTCCTGGTGAAGACACATTTTTTTCCTTCTCTCACCCTCCTCCCCTGCCGCTCTTCCGTGTCTTTCCCTCTCTCTACACAAGCCAACACATGATTTCAAGAGACTCCTTCCCAACCAGACCTTGCTGTTCTAAATCTCCAAGTTCTCGTATTCTAATGGGAGAGTAAAGGCATTGTTTGAAGGAAAGCTGAAGAAAAGACTTGCTTAGAACAAATGAGCAGTTACGTATTTTACTAGAACTGCCAATAAAAGTTCAGCTACAACCCAAAGAGGGAAAGGTCCAGTCTTCCCATCACCACGGTGATACCGGTTTTCTTAGCTGGCATGCCTCAAAGGCCAGCTATGTGATCTAAGAGGAAGAGAGGATTTTTCTTTTTAATGATCTTCCTTGAGAAGTTTTTGTGGCCTTTATTTACTTTCTAACTACATACTTGGGTGCCTATATCAAACAAAAGATAATGAGGCGAGCATTTTTACTTCTTTTAAAAACATACACACATATGCATATGCGATAGTATAATAGTAATGCCTTGTGGAGAATTAAACATGTAGAAAGCTACTCTGGTTTCTAGGTTTCTGTAAGGCATGATGTAAGGTATTCTCTTAATTGAAGCATTTGATATATAGTGGGAATGAGAGAGAGTGAGCCTTACAGGATACCCAATCTGAGTTATTATTAAAAAAACACACAAAAAAACAGCTAATTTAAAATCTAAGAAATCTTATTCTCATAATAGCTAAGGTGAAGTTGAGGTAAAATGCCATAATCCAGCTTTGCACAAGTCAATCTGTTCAAAAACGTTTGAGATTTAAAGATAAATAAATCTTACCCTAGTGACTTTTTTGCTACCTCACAGTCCTGTGAAAGGATCAGCTGGAATGATTATGGTCAAGACTGTAGTGATGGGGCCAAACCAACCCAATGTAAAAACTCTAAAATGAAAAAAGTCTGTGCCTCCGAGGTGGCACCTGGACCCTCTCAGACTGTCTACCGGCCTTCTCGGTTTCTAGTAACAGGCAAAATCCAGGAGAAGGAACTGCTTGCTCCCTGGCAGGAAGGGCATGAAATCAGCCTTGCTTCTGATTCAGTGAAGTTTAGAGGGTTTGGATTGCTAGTGTTTTTAAAAAGCCTCTACACAGTGGTTATGGCTTTTAATGAACCATTTTGTGGGAAAAGGGGGGAAAAAGTTTTGTTTGTTTTAGGGGGTAGGGGAGTTTGGTGGGTGTTTCATAGGGAAACCTTGAGAGAAGGATATAGATGAATGGATGCTAGGAAATACTAAGGTTATTAATGAGATGGGAATTTAAAGTTAGCTTTAAAGTACTAATGAGGGCTGAACCAAAGCTAATTTTCTGGCTTGAAGAAAATCATTAAAAAAAAAAATTCCATCCTACAAACACAGTGGCAAGACTATAGGCCTTATATAATCTTGACAGCCAGAATATAAAGACTTAACCTCAGGCAATGAATTTTTAGCATGGATGATCTAGTAAGTATATTTTACAAATGTTGATTGTTCATCAGCTTTGTTAAGACACTTTTGCAACGAAGTAAACTACATATAGCCTCCACCCTAAAGCGTTTTTTGGTTCCAGTTGGGATGAGAAAACTTACACATATGAAAATGAAATTAGCTGTATAATCAGGGCCGTGTAAGCTGGTGTCATTTATATTGCATACAGCAAAAGGGAACAGTTACTGAGAATTGAGGCACTTGAGAAAGCTCCGTGGAGGAAGGGGACAAGTTGAGGACCCTAGAGCTCACAGTCTAGTTAGAATTCATGAATAGATAAAAAGTTAAAAGCATATCATCAGGTTAAGTAAAAGTTGAAAACAATAAAATAAATGGTACTATTCAGAACACGACGCAGCAACAAAGATGTGTAAACTACCGTCACTGTTTTAGGAATTCAGAAAAAGAAAGCTGTCACATAATGCCATGAGGCCAGAGTGGGAAGGGAAGGCTTTTAAAAATACAAATCCCAGAAAGACCTTGCCCTCTTGGTCAACCATTCATATAGGGAGAAACTTGCTTTAAATAATCCTGATGTGATTTATGCGTTTAGACCTGAACTGTTCAGTACCTTTGAGATTCACTCAGACGATTGCACTTGTAGGTTCCGCAGAGAAACACTGACAGTATTCTGGTTCCCACCTCAACCCGCCCCACTGTGGAGGCACAGCCTCTGGTGCCCTTCCTGTATCTGGAGGTCTGCGGCAGCTTCTCAGTGGGCCTGCTTGCTCCCAGGATTCATCTCAGGGTCTACACATTACCCTCTGAGAGGACCCGAGACATACAGAATGAAGCAAAAGGGCAAGCAGGAAGGAAAGCTATTTAGTTTTTTATTTGTTGATATATGTACGTAAAGAGAACACCTATCCCATTATTGGTGGAAGTTTTGATTTGGTTAGTAATAGGGATTCTAATGCACTTTAATAATTTAGGGTTTCTCTGGAATTAAATAGCATTTAAAGATCAACATATTAAAGTTTTAGGCAGATACGCTATTTCTCATTCTCTAGAAGACTCATCATAGAGAAGATATTGGAGTCCTTTGTAGGTCATTAAAAACATTCATGCTCTTTATAAATTCAATCTAATATTCCTGTCACTTTATAGATTGTATCATATTCCTACCACCTAAATTACTGTGTTCAAAATTTTAAAAAGTGAATGAAAGTATTTTAAGACCATATACTTAAAACACTTCTCTATGTCATTATTATACATATAAACCTAATAAGACATTGCTTCAATCATCTGTATTTCCTTCTGCCAAGTTTTAATCTGTGCTATTGATTTAGCTTAATCACATGATCTAGCCATGTATAATGGAAAAAGGAAATTAATGTTTGTTACTGCATTCTGTGCCAGGTACTGTACTAAACCCTGATTGTTAACACTGTTTGTGCCTCACAACTGCGATCTAAGTATTGTTATAAAGACACTAAAGAAAAGATAATAAAATTACTTTCCTAAGGTTACATCAATGGTAATAATAGAATCAGGATTTAAACTTGACTTTAGGTGCCACCATCAATGACACTTCCTCACTGGCAGTGTCTGTCAAAGTGAGGTCTCTGGACAAAAAGCAGCATTACCTGAGGACTTGCTAGAAAAGCAAATTTTTGGACTTCACCCCAGACCTGTATCAAAATCGGGAGGGCACCCACCAATCTGTGTTTTAATAAGCCCTCCAGGTGACTGATTCAGCTAACATTTGAGAATCCTGCTCTATGCCAGTAATTTTCCCCTTTTCCTCAGGTTGGAATTACCTGGAGAGCTTATACAAATTCTGATGCCCGAGCTGCACCTAGATCAATGCAATACAATCTCGGGGGTTTGGGACTCAGGCACCAATAAAATAAATCTTATCAAGTGATTTCAGTGTGCAGTGTCGGTAAAATATGCTGTATGGCATTTAAACCTAGATACTATTTAAGTTACATACAGACACTGCTCCAGCCAAAAATGAGAATTTCTCTAGGGCCTTTTTAGAGCCCAGCTCTCCATGAGCTCTCTCTCCCAAGTATAGGTGTGGAATAGGAAGTGGAACATTCTTTGGCTCCTGATTTGCTAAGGACTGACCAACCTCCAGCAAAATGTATTAGCAAGTGTGTCAGGTGGTGCATCTGTTAGAACCAAATTGTAGAACATTGGAGTCAAAGGGAACCGGAAAGATTTTAGGATGAATGTGTCCTAGAGATGAGAAAATCAAGGCTCAGAGAAGTGAGCTAATAATCCAGAGCAAAGACAGTTTGTTGGAAAGGTGCTCTTTCTGTCTTGAATGTATCCACTACATGACCATATGCAAAACTATCCTTTTTATCGTAGTGCACTTTCACCTTCTCATTTTGGACCTTAAATAAAGACCAGAAGAACTGATTGACAGCTTAAGGGTATTGCAAGCATCATGCAAAATTGGGAGATGCCACTGAGAAAGACCTATTTTCCAAGTTCAATTAAGGGAGCTCTTCTGAGACTAATTCCGATAGTTCTAAACTAGAGAAGTATTTTTTTTTATGTTGGACATTGTTTTCCTTGTGTAAATAAGCAACTTAAGATGTATTTAAAGAAATGAAACAACATAAGGAATATTAAGCTGTCAAGTAAGTAGGGGAGTGGAGTTTATGTAATTTCGTGTGGAGCCAATAAAGATTTTTTTCTACTCAACTTTAGTTGAAACTTATCTTTGGACAGGTGAGGGTTTTTTCTTCAACAAATGAGTGCGCATTATGTGCTAGGTGCTGAGGATACAAAAGATATAGTCACTCTAAACTGAAATAGCTCATTATCAGAAGGTGGTGGAGTATTTGTTCGTAATCTTGATGTTCAAGTATTTTTCTAGCATCACCTAGAAGCAGAAGGTTGAGTTATGAAGCTCTCTACCTCTCACCTATAATAGGTTGAGAGTTGGTTCCTGTCTTGGGGTAAGTCCCTTTGCTGTTTCTCTTTTATCTGCAAATCTGAGACCAGCACTCACATTCCAAAGGGTAATTGTGATCCAAAGGAAGACAGTATTAAGGACTTATGTTCTAGTAGGAACCAGGTTCTTAACTGCCCTGACTCACCTATGTTGATATTCGTATGTGTAGACTACAAAACACTTGATCTGCTTACCTGATGCACTTGATGATACTGTAATAACATACACTACAAGAAAGTACTGCAGTGTCTAAGCAATCAAGTTACAGCAAACACTATGTCTTGTTTCTAAATGTTTTCCTTACTGTTCGTGTTCTTTTAGCATGGGGAAGAGGGAAAAAGGGAGGGTCGAAGTATGTTTTCAAATGCAAGTCAATCATTAATGAACAGAGTCACTTACAAAAGAACTTTGTATTGACTGTAACCATTGAATGTGTTGATCAATCACAGGAAATGAAATGATCCTTAGTTTGCAGATTTGCAAGTGGAATTATAGAACTGGATTCCATTTTAATTCTATATAATTCTGATTTGAATATGAATTTCTTATTACTGAATATATGTGTATTTTACCCCCAGGCCATGTTAATTCTTATAAAATTATTTTCTTTATGAACCTTACTTTATTTTGCTTCCTTTCTACTTTGATCCTAACATTGTGTGCCTGGATCTAAACAGCAATCGATTTCTCAGATCAAATAGATGCTCTATAGCAACTTGGAAGACACATGGGCATAAAACCGTATTATCACTACAGATTAAATTTGTTAATGATGCCATGAAAATAGGTGATAATTTCCTAAACTTTGCTATTTGATACCAGATACAGCAAATGAGGTAATAGTGTGTCTAACTGCCTAGCCCAGTATTGACATTCAATAAAAACCTGTTGCATTTGTCAATGAGTCTTTGCAATCTTTCCACCTTATTTTGGAGATTGTTGAATAAAGTTTTTTTGCCAACTTTTTTTTAAAAAGATTTTATTGGGGAAGGGGAACAGTCAAGTTGTTGTCCTTCAGTCTTAGTTGTGGAGGGCGCAGCTAGCTCAGCTCCAAGTTCATTCACCATCTGGCCACCTGTCAGCAGCTTGCGGCCGCTCAGCTCAAGGTGCCGTGTTCAATCTTAGTTGCAGGTGGGCGTATCCCACCATCCCATGCGGGAGTCGAACCGGCAACCTTGTTAGGAGCATGTGCTCTCACCAGCTGAGCCATCCTGCCACCTGTTGGCAGCTCAGTGGCAGCTCAGCTTGGGCACAGCTCACTGGCCCATGTGGGAATCAAACTGGCGACCCTGTTGCTCAGAGCTCGGGCTCTTAATCACTGAGCCACTCTGCCGGCCGCCAACTTCTTAGAGTAGCATTTCTGACAGAACAATGGAAAGAGGACAGAAATCTGATCAGTTTAAGGCTTAACTTCGCCACAGGAGATAAGGATAAGGGCACTATCATGTACTACTATTAATAATTGGCTAACAATTATTGAGCTCTTATCAATATGTCAGCTACTGTTCTAAATGTGTTCATTTAAGCCTCACAACGGCTGCTGTCATTACCCCCATTTTATGGATGAGATAAACAAGGCATATAGAGATGAAGTAATTTGCCCAAGTCAGACAGCTATTAAGTGCCAGAGCTGGGACTTATACCCAGGCAGTCTAGCTCCAGAACCTACATACATAAGCATGGCACTATACTGTCCGTATTCTCCATGGTGCCAAGCACTTACTTCATTGGGGTGCCCTTTTGCATAACAACAAATTCTCACGTATGCAAGGCAGTATCAATAATCCTATTTTTCTAAATAAAGTAACTCAGGGTTTAAAGAGTTTAATAATTTGCTCAAGAGACATAGCTAGTTAGTTCCAGACCTGGGAATTTACTTCAAGCCAATCAGAAACCACTTCTCACCATTCCAGAAAATTAAAGTTTATTATACTGAATTTGGTTCAACCATGCTAGCCCAAACTTCCATTAGGGATAATAGGGAATTGAGAATACTAGGTACAACAATAACAGTAGCAGTACCATTCTGTATTTATACAATTGGAAAGTATTGCCAACCTTTATTATCTTATTTGTGGCCCCAAAGCCTTACAAGATACATAGAAGGCAGAAATGGGTTTGTGCCACAGGATGAAAAAGGACTTGTCAGAACTGAATATTGACCTTTTGCCGAAGTTAGTCTACATATAGCTGACTTTGATATGAAAAGAAGAAAGCAGTTTACATTGGTCATCATTGCTCTGTCACACAGCTTAAGCAGAGTTCAGACCTAGAGTCAAAGTGCTAGTGTATAACTGTAGTGTGTACAAAATGGCCATTTTCTCCCTTGGTGGGCAAAGAAAGTATGAATTATAGAGAGAAATATAAGAAAGAAAAGAATTACCAATTATATAACAAGCCCCTGCAAAACTTAATGGCGCAAAACAACAATATTTTAATTTTTAAAGATTCCGTGGGCTATTTCTCCTCCTGATATCACCTGGGGTCACATGCATCTGCATTAATCTGATGGCAGAAGGGGTAGGTAGTCCTAGGTGGCCTCTCTTCCCTATCTGTAAGTTAGTGCTGGTTATTGGCTAGGGTGCCTTGTTTCTTCTCCACATGGCCTCTCATCTTCCAATAGACTAGACTGGGCTCTTCACAGCATGGAGTGGGGAGTGTCTTAGGGAAGTGTTCCAAGCAAGCAAACACCAATGTGGAAAGCACTAATCAAGCCTTTGCATTTGTTACATTTGCTGATGTCTTATCAGCCAGACCAAGCCAGGGCCAAGCCCAGAGGTACTGTGGAAGGGCACCTAAACTCCACCCCTTGATGGGACTAATGCAAAGAATTGTGGTCATTTTTAATCCACCACAGAAAGAAACCAGAATTTAAACAGCAAAGACCAGGGGTCAGTAAACTTTTTCGTGAAGGACCAGGTAGTAAATATTTTAGGCCTGTGGGCCTTGGTTCTTTGCAGTTATAGTGTGAAAGCAACCATAGGGCATTATATATATATATATATATATATATATATATATATATATATATATATATATATATATATATATATATGCCAAAAGAGTATATACACATTTTAAGAAAGGAAAAAACTATTAAAATTTTAATACTATATACCAATAACAAAGATGAATACAAGTCATGTTTGACTTATGCAATTACAAGAGGCGCTCAAAGTGGTTACCATCAGCATCCAGACACTTCTGATTATGGTGAGCTACTGCTTGAGTAATGTTAATCAAAGTGTCCACCTGGATACATTTTTTTGGCATTCCCGGTATATGCAAAAGTATATGACTCAGTTCCAGTAAACTTTATTTAAAAAAACAGGAGGTCCTATTGGTCTATAGTTTGAGGACTGCCAATGAAGACTACTGCAAGTTGAGATGGACTTTTAGGAGTAAAATTGAGAGGACAAAGCTCCCAAATATTGATCCCTTTGAGTTTCAGATTGAAGAACATTGATACATTTCCTAGGAATGGATTTTTAAGAAATCTCTTATCCTCTAAGAAAGAGAAGCCAGGAAAAGTCCAACAAAAATTTCCCCTGGTGCAATTTGGAAACGGGTTGAAGAGTGACCACTGTCAGACTTGACTGAGTACCTGTCGTGGCCAGGACACCACCCAAAATACAAGGATTCACATAAAAATATTAGTGATATTAAGTACTCGCGAGGCACTTTGTAGAAGTCCCTTAATGCTTAAATAACCTTGAAATTATTCCCCCATTTTCAAGATAGAAAAATAGAACTTTAGAGATGTGAAGTTACTGTCCCTATATGTCATTAGGTTATGACAAGAGTATTTTAAGCTGGCTCTTGTTGGGGAGAGGTGCTGGTGTACAAGTTTAAGGAAATTTAATAGCATCACTACAGGAATCATTTAATGTTTGTCTTGGCCAGAAAAATGTGAATGACAGGTTGCTGAGATAAGAAAAGTATAAAAATATTTTCTTTATCTCAACATTATTTTAAGGGGTGAGGAAATTTAGCCTTTAAATAAATCTGGATTTTCTGTGGATGTGTTAAGTAAAGGTTAATTTTTTTAGATTAACCAAGGGAATTTGTGCTGTGATGGATGTTGAGAAATAAGGAAAATATATTTTATTCCCACTGTTGTTAAGCCTTGCCCAATTTATTCACTCTGCTGTTTACTAAAAAGACCAGTTTTTCATTGGACTTTTGAAAGATAGTTACTATTTGGCTCAGTTAAGATGAATGTTTCCTCCTATGTCACAGTCAAGGGCCTTGTCCTTTTTAGTGGTAAATTTTCAGTTTCCTTAGTAATTGCTATGTTTGACTTTTAAATGGTCATTTATGTTTTATCACAAAACCATGAATTTCTCTAGCTATTCAATGTACTGTGATGAATAGAATTTCAAATTCTCGTATAATCCTTTTTACTTTCTTATATATGTTTTTATTTTCAGTATCATTCCTAACATTAAAAAAATTTTTTTTCTTAATAGTATATTGATTCTTTCTAATAACCAGCTTTTGGTTTTATGGTAATCCAATTCTTCTGATATTTTTTGTTTTCCATTTCTTTTATTTTAACTTTCATTTTGACTAATTCTTTCTTTGGGTTTTTTTTGGGGGGGGATGTCTTTTTCTTTTTATATAAGTTGAATATTTATTTTCTGCTATGTTAAGTCATAGGATTTCATATGAAGTTTTTTCCTTTTTCATTAATTGCCATATAACTTATAGTTTCTATTTTTGTATACTTGATTTGGGGGCTATTCAAAATAGTGTTACTAATACTGTTATAATAGATCTTGAAAGTTTTCATCACAAGGAAAAAAATTGTAACTATGTAGAGTGATGGATGTTAACTAAACTTATTGTAGCAATCCTTTTACAATATATACTTATATCAAATCATGTACACATTAATCTTATACAACGATATATGTCAATTATATCTCAATAAAACTGGAAAATATGTAATTTGTAAAATAGTGTTACTTGATATTGAAGTGGTTACTTTATGAAGTAGATACACCTTTGAGGTGTCAAGTTCTAGTTTTATGGGATGTGCATTTTTTTTCATTAAATTTGCTGGGATAATATTGGCTAATAACATTATGTAAATTTCAGGTGTACAACTTTGTAATAGGACATCTGTATACTCTACTGTGTAGTCACCACTCGAAGTGTAGTCTCCTCCCATCACCATATATTGGACCCCATTTACCTTCTTCTTTCTCGTCCCACCCCTTGTCCCCTCTGGTAACCACCAGTCTGTTGTCTATATCTATGAGTTTGGTTTGTTTGCTCCCTTGTTGCTTTTTGTTTTATATATATCTCACATATGAGTGAAATCATATGGTTCTTGTCCTTGTCCACCTGGCTATTTCATTTAACATAATACTCTCAAGATCCATTCATATTGTTGCAAATGGCAATATTTAATACTTTTTAATGGCTGAGTAGTATTCCATTGTATTTATGTACCACATCTTCTTTATTCAATCATCAATGGAAGGGTGCATTATATTTTGATTTATAGAAAACTATATGTAGAATGATATTTGACATTTTTTAAACCAATGGCGGACAATAGATACTACTTAAGCACTTAAAACAAAACAAAACTTACATATGGACAGGCCCTTCAGGGCCATCTCAAGGTTCTCAATAAATGCTTATTTGAATGATTGAACAAATGAGTGACTGAAGACCTGCATTCACTTAAATTGAATATACACGTCATCTGAAAAGGGTAACAGATTATTATTAGAACATATGTATATTATTTAATCCATTATTAACTACTAGTTGAGTACAGGGTTTTACTGGAGTCAAATCCAGTAGACTGATGTTTTAAGTAGTTAAAAAGTAGGAAGGCCGGCCGAGTGGCTCAGTTGGTTAAAAGCTCGCTCAAGAGTGTGATCTCTGAGCAACAGGGTCGCCAGTTCGATTCCCTGCCTGAGCTGAGCTGCCAATAGGTGGAAGGATGGCTCAGCTAAAAAGAAAAAAAAAAAGGTAGGAAAAGGTCTAGGTTTTTAGAATACTGCACTTGGCATCCAGCATCTAAGGAAAAAATGCGAGAAATAATTCATTTATTTAACAAACCTGGATGCTATATAAGTTCTGAAATATCAAAAGGATATGAAAAGGAGAGTGGTAATGCCAAATTTTTCATACCTCACAATACATTTTCTAATAAACCTTATGGCCCAATACGGTTCCTTCTCTGCACACTGATTAATTAAACACACAACAAAAAGCATAAGTCAAACAATCCAAAATAAAGTACAAAAGAATCACAACATTAAAGGAGACCCTATTTATAAACCATAGCAACCCTGTTTATAAGCCCACCCCTCTAATCCAAAATTTCTCCTGCATTCTACAAATGCTCCATTCTTTCCCATAAAGCTGCATAATTTTCTCCCAGCATTCCCAACTTTGTAGTTTGACTTCACTTCCCATGTTAAGTCCTCCCACCTTTCTTGCTGCTCTAGTCCTTAGGTTTACAAGGTGTCTTCTTGGAGGGACTGGGGTGAGGGAAGACTGGAGAACTAGGGATAAGGGAAGGAATTAGCAGTGTTACTTTTATGAACCTTGTCCTGATTATTTCAAAATCTCTGTTGGCTCAGTTTAGGTGATGCTTTTTTTTCAGTGTGTGTGTGTGTGTGTGTGTGTGTGTGTGTGTGTGTGTGTGTGTGATTTACTCAGCCACAGAATCAAAAAGAAAACCCCAAGTTTCAAATTCAAATCAAAATATTCTTCCCACTCTCCCATTTTCATTTTGCTTATATGCTATTTGGAGCAACAACGACTTTATACACACACACACACACACACACACACACACACACACACACACACACTGATAGTGCTCTGTGATATGTATTAGTCAAAGGCTACTGGGGTTCCCAGCAGGGAATAATTTACATTCCCTGTCGAGAAAGAGAGGCTTCAAGAAACTGGTGTCCCTGAAGCTGCATTTTGAAGATGTGGAAGTACATGGAATACTCAAGGGAATACTGTCTCCTCTGCGGTGGGGTGGGGGGGTAGGGGGGGAGTATGGAGTGAATGAGGAAAAGTGGCAGAAAAGGCAGGCCAAAGTCATATTACAAAGGTACAAAGGACTTCAAATTCCTTGATAAGAAATTGGAGTGCCTATGTAATACTTGGTAGGTGAGGCTGTCTCTGACTCACCCTGGCAAATGGCACGCGTGGGGTGTTTCCTAAGCTATCACAGTAGTTAGACACACGTCCATTTGTGTACTCATTCGATTGCCAGCTTCTTTAATGCAGGGATATCTTTTCATCTGTGTGTTCCTGGAGCTTTTTGTAATGACTCGCAAAAAGATGTGCTGGATAGTTTGAATGAGTGGAAAATCGACATTCATAAATGACTGAAGATTACAGCCTATTTCACAGTGAAAACATCAGCATTAAAGGTTCAATGATAGCAAGACACTACACTAACCTTACAACCTAACCTTTCGTGGCGATTTACTTCTAAAAATCTTTATCCAGCTGGTAAACTCTCCATCCCACAAATGGCCATAGAAGCTAGCACCAACCTATTTTTTCCTTAGCCGACTTTATCGAGTGGCTATGTGCCAGGGAGTATTCTAATAAGATGTTGGTCAAAACCCAGAACATGGGAGGCACCAGTTACCATATCATTAGACGACGAGTACAAACACGATTTAAATGCCGAAGTCCCTATAGCAGCCAGAGAGCCGGAACCAAGCCTCCGACCCTTGAATTTCCGGGCGGACGCGCGAGTATGTTACAATGGATCGATTGCTTTTGCCTGGCGGAGGCCTAACAGGAGAGGACCAAGCGCAGGGAGGCCACGGGAAGGAGTTAAGTCTAGGACGTCCTGGTCCGCGAGGGAGCTTGAGCCCCTGAGATTCGGGAGGCTGAGCTGCCTGTTTGGCCGGGCGTCCAAACGGGTCTGAGAGTTCAGTCATGTTTACACACGCGTGGACGCGCGCCTTGCGCAAGAACAAGACCCTTCGCTACGGAGTTCCAATGTTGGTGAGCGCATTGAAGAAAAAGTGTGGGGCGGAATTGCGAAAGGGGTGGGACCTCAAGTTTGGCTGGATCGGACTGCGGGGAATCTGTAAGACTTGAGGCGGGGCCTGGGCTAGGAAAGGCCTGGCGATAGGTTGAGAGCTTTTAGGCAGCCCTTCTAGCCTTTTCTGATTGGTTGTGGCATCTCACTCCTTATCTTCCCTGGTGCTTCAGAGAGTCGTGTCAGAACCAGATTTTAACCCAAGTCTCAATGATTACTAAACTAGCTTCCCCAACCCCCGCCGCTACAGCTTGACGATACTCTGGATCATTGGAACTATATAGACGTATTTACTTAATTTATCTATACAGTTTCGGGCATCTCCATATTTCAGCTTACTAGTGGCTTAATTCTTCCAAGGTTGTTGAGTTAAATAAAACCTTATGAATTGAGTGTTGCGCACGGCTCCTGCCACATCGTAGCAGCCCTCAAAAGGTTGCTGTATTACAGTTTATGTTTTTAAAGCACCCAGGAAATGCCAAGCTTACTAAGAAACCCGGGACAAAGACCATACGATTTTTAAAAATGTAACATGTATTGTGATTGCAGTAGTCCAGGAAAGCGATGATAATGGCCTGGGCTACAGTATTAGAAGAGGATACAGTCAGAAATTGTCAGATTCAAGAAATATTTTGAAAGTAGAGGCGACAGAACTCAGAGATGGATTAGAGATGTGAGACATGAATGAAAGGAGCTAAAGATGACTCCAAAGGAGTTGGCTTGTGTAATTGATAAAAGTAGTTGACACTTACTGGGATGTGAAAGATTGGTTAGGAGCAAGTTGGGGCAGAAAGAGTGTTGAGGTAAAAATCAATTTAAAAAAAATGTTAATTTGTATGTACCTGTTAGACTTGCAAGTGGAGATGTCAAGTATGCAGGCACATCTTTATTCAGTAGGATATTTCCTATTGAGATTGTACTTTTGGAGGTTGTTGGGTTATAGAAGCTATATGTAAATCCATAGAACTGGATGACATAGCCTAGGGACTCAGTGTTGGTTGTGAATAGGTAGAAGAGGTATGAAGACTTAAGTATTTGGGATACTCCAACATTCTGAAATTGGAAAGGTGAGAAAGAATGCAGGAAAACTGAGCAGGAGTTAGGAAAATCAGAGGTGTCTTTTCATTGAAACTAAGAGACAAAATGTATTTCACTTTATAAAGAATTTTTACATATTGACCTTGCAAGTATTAGCTGCTTATATATAACAGATATTTGCTTGATTTGTTGTCTTTTGATTTTATGTTGTTTTTAGTTCATTTATTTGTCAGAATATATGTTTTAAATTTTAATGTGGTCAAATTTGTTGGGTTTTGAAATTCATAGCCTCAAGGTATTGTTGGTATTCCAACTTCAAAATTATAAAAATTTTGTATTTTATAATGTTTTATATCTTTTTGTATTTCCTTAATTGGTAATGTTAATATATTGATATGAAAAGGAAGGTAAGGATCAAACTTGATGTTTTTCCAAATTGCTGGACTTTTGCAGTTTTAGGATGAGGAATTAAAGCCCATTAAATTATTGGAGGAGATGATAAAGCAGCAATGACAGTTCGAGGGCTCCTTTAAGATGTACCACATACTTAGAAATGTGGCATATTTCATGAGATTCTTTGATCACTTGGTAAGAAAATGAAGAAAAATGCTCTCCAATTGGTTTATTTTGTAAAATAAAGTTGAAAGAATTTTGGTCTGATGAGACAAGGCCAGAATTTTATTCCTGGTTTTACCCATGGTAATTATGGACAAGTCATTTCGTTGTCAGTGCTTTTAGTTCCTCATCTATTAAATTGATTTTTCTTTTCCTTAGCTCATAAACCTTTTGTGAGGATCAACTAATATAATGCTTGTGATGATGTTATTTAAACCATAATTTCAAGTACAAGTATGCGGTACTGATTTTGGTATTCGGTAATGTGCTAAAATGTTTCCCAGTTTCAGTATATACTGCATCTACTCTGAAAGATGAATGGCAACTAACTAGGAAAAATAATCTATAGGATTTTGTATAATCTGTCACTGTTGGCATTTAGATAAGTAATCTATAGGTAGACTGAATTCTGCCCTTCTATTTTGTTTAATTGTTTCTTTTCTTTGTTTCAGTTGTTGGTTGTTGGAGGTTCTTTTGGTCTTCGTGAGTTTTCACAAATCCGTTATGATGCTGTGAAGATTAAAGTAAGAACTGTACTTGACATTTGACATGTGTCTGCACATATATATATATATATATATATATATATATATATATATATATATACATATTATGGTTTAGAGATGGGTATACTCAATATACTAAGCAGTCTGAGTTTTGTCTTGCTTTTCAAGGCTGATATATGATCTTTGGGCTCTTTTTTATTCTTTAAAATAACATTAATGATCACATGGAAATGAATCATGAAATGTAAAGAATTTAGTAATCTTTCTCCTAATTCACCAGAAAATTTGTAATATTATTAGCTTTCTGCCACAACATATGCTCTGGTATAGTTGTTTTTAGGATTTAGAAGGGCCTAAAGAACATGGGACAACAATTTCACTCTGTTTTATTACTTCCATTATAAATTACCTATTTCATATTAATACCAGTAATTTTATAAATTATATTATCTTTAGTAACTAAAACTAAAAGAAAGGAAAATTATTTTTTATTCTAAATAGTGACACCTTTTTTAAATTGGGGATTAGGGGGAGGGGAACAGTGTTGGGGAGTTAGGGAAGGAGACCAGACAAGTTGTTGTTCTTCAGTCTTTGTTGTGGAGGGCGCCAGTCGCCATCTGGCTTCCCGTCAGCAGCTCGTGGCCTCTAAGCTCAAGGTGCTGTGTTCAATCTTATTTGTGGGTGGGCGTAGCCATTATCCCATGTGGGAGTCGAACCAGCAGCCTTGTTGTTAAGAGCGCACGGCTCTATCCACTGAGCCATCCGGGTGGCAGCTCAGCTCAAGGTGCCGAGTTCAGTCTTAGTTCCGGGCAGGCGGGCGGGCGTAGCCCACCATCTAACAGGCAGTCTTGTTGTTAGGAGCATGTGCTCTCACCAGCTGAGCCATCCTGCTACCTGTTGGCAGCTCAGCGGCAGCTCAGCTCGGGCTCAGTGTCACTGGCCCATGTGGGAATTGAACCGGCAGCCTTGTTGCTCAGAGCTCACGCTCTTAAGCTAACTCTTAACCAACTGAACCAGTCAGCCGCCCGACACCTATCTTTTTCTAGGTATCCTTTTGATAGGTATGCCTTTGTGGTAGGACTGTACCGATATATCTATGTCTATAGCTGTCTGTGTCTGTGTCTGTGTCTATGTCTAAGTAAACTGTCTCATCCTGGACCTGTGATCATAAAGTCCCATGGCTATTTAGGGGTAGAGCTAGTGTTCCCACCCTCTGATTACACAATTACTGTAAAATCCAGGCTAGGTGTTACATAAGAATTCTGGTTAATTCAGTCATAAGTATGTAGTTTTTGTTTGTGGAACACATCTGATATTGGAGATTTTTTCCAAGTAATATATATGTTTCATTAGCAGACCTCAGTAATATGGGTGGTAAAGTAAAGAGTATTAAAGGCCTATTCAATTTTCTCAGTTAATTTTATGGTTTAAGAGAAACACCAACCCCAGATAGTCTTAAAAGCAGTAGGCATTAGAATAAATACTACATTTTAAAAGAATATGTAGTTTCTGTGAGGGAATAGAGCAATTATCAACTGAGTTAAAAAGTTTCTGTTAGCATCCCAATTATTTTATTAAGGAATTCTTTCCCTTTTGCTTTAAGATGAAAATTATAATAATCTGACTTTTGGAAGTGGGATGACATGTACGTATTTGAAAAATAATTGAATATTTGTCATGTTTATTGTGTGGTAGATCCTACAGATAAAGATTTAAGAAACTGGTTCTTACAAAGTTTATAGCATAATCAAGGCTGGAAGACACCTAATATAAACGTGTACCAAACACATAATATAACAATGCCCAATAAAGTGCTCTTTTAGAATTTTGCATAAAACATTACTAGAACTTCAAGGAGAGGCATACAGCTTAGACTTGGAAAAGGTGTATTTGAGAAGCTTTGTTAGAGGTATCAAACTTTGAGTTAAGGCTTTAAGAATGAGTAAGAGCTAAATGGTAGAAATGACTAATATTCTATACTAGAGGGAGTATGGGGCATATGTTCAGATTTTCATTTTAGCAATACCTCTCTCGCATTAGAGTACAGGGTGGATGGGAATTGGGAGAGTAATATAGGAGGGAAGAGGTTGTTTGATTGGAGGTGAAGAGACCTTTTAGGCTGCTTTGGCAGTAATATAGATGAACAATAATGGAACCTGAAATAAAACATTTGCAATGAAGACAGAGAAATAAATGGGTTGCACAAAAAAATTTAGTAGTAAATTGATAGTATTTGATGACTAATATGTATATAATATAAAAATATAAATAAATCTCAGATGACTCAAGGTTTGGGTTTTGAGAACTGGATAAATGGTGGGAGTAATCACTCAGTTAAGAAGAAAGAATGAGGGACATTGGGATAACAGGATAAGTCTAGAAGATGGGGTTAAACTAAAGAGAACAAAGTTAGGTAAATTTGGAAGATTGAGGTTGATTGAAGTTGAGAGGACAAGGTCTGTTGAAATCAAGAGAACAAGGTTGAGAGGTTTGGTTGGTCAAGGTCTGTGGAAGGAGGCTGAGAGGACAAAGTTCAGGTGAGAAGGATCAGAGGGCAAGACCTGCTGAGACTGAGAGGTCCAATTTGGTTGATGTTGAGAAATCAAACCCAGGGGAAGTCAACAATCAGTGTTTGGGAGAGGTTGAGTTCAAACAGGCTAGAGAAGATGAAGTGGACTAAATTTGAGATGGATTGAGAGGATAAGATTGGTTGAGGTTGATGGGGGTTGTTATAGGCTTGAGAAATTGAGATCAAGGGGGAGTTAAGAGGGCGAGATTTCTGAGGTCAAGGGTGTGGGGGTCAAGACAGGTTGAGAGGACAAATTTGGTTGAGAAGGAGCAAGAGAAGATAGATTCAGTTGAGAAGTTTTGAGAAGGGTGGAGAAAGATGGTATTGATTTAGAGTGACCAGCCATCTTAGTTTGCCTGGAACTGTCCTGATATTTAGGACTAAAAATCCAGCATCCCAGGACACAAAAATTCCTGCTTTTCAGTCATGTGTATGGAAGGTTGAAAAGAAAGTACAGAAACTGTGAGGTGTGCTAAGAAGATAAACTGAAAGAAATAGCTTTCCATTTGTGTGAAATAGATATGACATAGTTTACCTGCCTTCCTTAGTGGCCATTGCTTTTTTTTCCTGACTCCTAATGCTGACAACCATGGGTCCAAAATAACAGATCATCCATTGTTGGATCACTCTAAGTAATACGATGTAAGTTGCAGTTAAGTGTGTTGTAATCCGGAGCATGACCAGTCTTTTTTTTTTGTTTTTTGTTTTTTGTTTTGCTTGTCTGTCGTACTTTGCAAGGAAATAGTGCTAGTTTAATTTTCAACATTGTAAATACTCATATTGTGACCAGGTTTTCTAAGTTTCAGATAATAGAAAAGAGAACAATTACAACACCAATGTCTGTATGATCCAGATATCACTGAAAAAGAAAGCTGAATAACTGTGTTTATTTTAATGATGATGGGAGGACACATACAACTGGATTAGGGAGTTAAATAACCAAAACAGAGCATACTATAAAATATGCTAAAAGGAGCTTGAGATTGGGCATGGTGGAAACAGGAATGTAAAAACACATATGAAGACAGAACCTCACAGTTCCAAGATGAGAGAGGCAAGTACTTGTAAATCCATCCAGTTTACTTGTCTCCCCTTAAAACACCAATACTCAGTTGACAATAGCAGTTACTGAGTGACCTTGTGTATACCACACTAATGAGAGCATGCATTATCATACTATGTCCTTGATTGCTCTATGAAACCGAGCAAAGTTACGTTTTTCTGTTCCAGAGGTTCAAACTAAGATAATCCTGTGGGCAAACAATGGGGAATTTCGGTAACACAGATACGTCGACCCCTTACAATATAGAGCTGATTCTATTAAATCTTACCAAGGATCCTGCTTTCTGTAGTGTATCAAGTGATGAATGAAATCATGGCAACAAAAATGTTCATCTTAGCTCTTAGGTACTGTGATGTGAAAATGGAGTTTCAAATTGTCTTCTGATTTCTTTGAAGATTTCAGTGCAGCTGTGAAAGTATAAATTAAAAAGTTCTTAATATCTTGTCAGATGTTGCTTTTGCCCATTTTTCTACCTGCTTCCTTTTTGGAACTCCAATTCAGATGTGTGTTAGACTGTAACTATGTCCAATATTTATTTCCACTATGCTTTTTTAATGTTTTGTTTTCCCCCATTCTTTTTTAAATTTTAATTTGTGTATTTTCTATTGTTCTATCTTGTAGTCACTAAACCTGTTTTTTGCTGTGTCCAATCACTTATTAAAGTCAACCTTTGATTTTGTAATTTTATGTAAAATATTTTTTGGTTCTGAAATGCATATTTAATTCTTAATTACATATTCTAATATAGGGAGAAATCTTCCATGAAGTCATATTTTTACTATTTTCCTTCAATATCTTGAACACATTTTTTTTTTTTAAGATTTTATTGGGGAATTGGGGGAGAGAACAGTGTTGGGGAACCAGGGAAGTGGAACAGACAAGTTGCTGTCCTTTTGTTCTTCAGTCTAGTGTGGAGAACGCAGCTTCACTGGCCCATGTTGGTATTTTAATATTGCACTCTTCCCGGGTGAGGCAGATTGGTAGCCAGCTACTGGACAGCCACTCACAGCGGCTCTTGGCAGCTCACGCTGGCTGCCAGCCACTCATGGTAGCTTTATGGCAGCACACTGCAGCAGGGGCTGCAGTCTACGCTGTCGCCAACTACCCATGGCAGCCCAGCTCCAGGTCAAGCTGTTGTTCATCATCTTCACTGTAGAGGGTGCAGCATCACTGGCCCTCATGTGGGATCCAAACCGGGGCCCTGCTGTCAGAGCTGGTGTCCCAAGCCAGCTCTTAACCAATGTGCTACTCACCTGGCCCTTGAACACATATTAATTATAGTTACTTTAAAGGCCTATCTCCAACATAAAGATCAAGTATAGATCTGCTTTTATTCTGTATATGGTTCTATCTTTGAATATGCCTTTCATTTTTTTTATTAAGTAT